GTTATGTTATGCTATCGTATGAGCTAAATCACAAGGATGGGCGCAAATCGTTCCCTCTTGTTCTCATCAACTGGGCGCCAAGTACCAGCAGTCCGGAGCTCCTCACTCTTCATGCAAGTGCCTTGCTGAACTTTCAGACAACGGTGAGTTTGTGAAGCTTATACCTGCTTTGATAAGCAAGCCAAATGAGCTTCAGGCGGACGTCATGAAAGTTATTGAAGTTCGGGATGGACCTGAAGGGCTTACAAAGGAACTTGTTGATCAAACGTTAGGCGGACGTCCATAATGAGGTCAGGATTGAAGGATTTACTAAGGACATTCTCGAGAGAAGACCAATTGTTATAGATACCATCGCTCTGCATAGCTCCCAGATTCATGTATTATAACGGTAACAATATAAGTTAAACGTCCCAACCTCGGAACGCAGTAGGCGCTACCTAGAAGGCTCCGGCCTCAAGTATAATCGCCCATGATTCCTCCAAGGACCCATGCATTCCCTGCCACATACACCAAACTCCTAATCCAGAGCCCGAGAAACACGTTTTGGGCAAGGAATTCGAGTTTGTATGCTTCTGCTAACCAAAGCGCTTGGACTCCCACCCATACAGCAACATATGCAACAGCTCGTCGCCCGGTCGTCGCCAGGTGTGGAAGGATCAGTGGGAGCAGTAGAAGATACCACAGGAAGTACTAATCAATTATCAGTCACAATCTTCTCCGCCGTGTGCTCATGAAAATCCACAAACCTGCGATGTGCAGACTTTGTTGAAAATAACGAATACCACAGTCTGCACAAACCATGTGAATGGAAGATCCTTCGAGCGCTTTCCGAACGCAAATCCAGTGCCCAGTGCCAGCCCCATCTGCGGCACAAAACTCGTCAAGGGAGAACGCACTATGTGGCCCCACAGATCCATTTGTTCTGGTGCAATACCGGGAGTAGGGTACGTAAGATACGTGAGGTAGAAGTACGGCGCAAAGTTGTGTCGATGATCGAGGCGATGAGCATGGTAGAGGTAAGATTCGTACAAGAAAGGATAGCCCCAGCTATTTTATAAAATTAGTTAGTTCTGCAGACAATGAGAAATAAGAAAACGCACATCGAATAACAAGCAGCCCCGAGAGCTATAAACATCCCCGCACTCAAAATGGTAAATCTAACGGTCTTCGCGTTTACCAGGGCCCCCAGGTAGGACTTCCATCCGTGTGTCCTATCCGCCCTTCCTATAACCCCAAGGCATGCGACTCCATATATCACGGGATAGATCTTCCAATGCGTACTGAGTCCCAAGAGCAATGCTGCAGCATCCCATTGCCCACGTAGCGCCGCATAGAGAGTGAGCAGAACAAGCGACGCGAGAACCGACTCCGACGATCCCCGTGTTGAGATGGAGAATACGAGAGGATTAAGGAGATGTAGGGAACTGAAGAGTGTCGCTCGGACCTCTCGTTCGCGTTCTATGGCCTTTTCCTCTTCTGGTGACGGTTTATCTTCAGTTTCAGTTTCAGTTTGCTGCCGCTCGAGGACATTGGAGAGTAGCAATCGATATATTAGCACCCCATTCAAGATGTCACAAGCTGCGAACAGGTATTTTCCAAAGGGAGGGTATATCCACACATTCGGCGCCAGTATTAATGCGAGGAGCGGGGTGTAGCGGTACGTTTCCCTGGTGTATGGGCTACAGCGGTGAACACGTCAGGTTTTGCTCCCAAAACTTGATTGAACTATAAGAACTTACTCACTTCCCAAAAATGTCTCTCAGCTGAGGAATAGCCCGCGTTAGTGGCCCTTGCGCGTAATTTGAGGGATCAGGATGGACGAGAAAGCGTGCAGCGTCACTGAAGACACGGTAGTCGATGTCGGTGTACTTGACGATGGAATGCTGATCATGCCATTCGCTGTAGACGATTAGAGCAACGCGCAATATGATGGATAGTATGAGAATAGTGCGAAAGGATGGTAAGCGGTCGCTCAATGTCATGGTGGCATGAAATAAGGGATGTATTGATGGCACAAACAGTCTTGTGGAACTACATCATAGTCGTCTATAAGATTTCAACAAAAACTATAAATTTCGGTTCACGCTATATTAAGGATACACTGAAGGAATGATAAGGCAAAAAGCCAGAGTAGTCCGAAGGAGAGCACAAAATATATGGGCCAATGAATTGAAAATCGTTAGATCTATGGGGAGTAAGCTTCTGCAAGAAACTGGAGGTGTGCCTTACATATTGAGACAACCATCGAAAGCCTAAAACGTAGGATCAGCCAAGGCAGGAAAGCGACCTTAGAACCAAAGATAATTACCATCTCCATAACCCTGTCTCAGTGCAACGGAGCACATGAAGACTTCAATAGGCCGAATATCGCCAAGAGGGATCTTACCCTGACAAATGAACGTTCCATTAAGCACGAAGCCAGTGAAGACGACACGATACCCACCTTCCCAGTCGTTTGGTAAAGTCCTAGCTGATGCCTTAACTCTTCTTCACTTATCGCATTGTCCGCATCAATCTTGTTTCCGAGGACGAGGAAAGGTACATGCTCAAGGCCCTCATCAGAAAGGAGGCCATCGAGTTCGCTCTTGCTTTCGGGGAGACGCTCGACATCGGCACTATCAACAAGAAAAACGATGCCGTCTACTTCAGGGAAGTAGCTCCTCCATAGGCGACGAGCTAGCCGGCAAGGACGAACGCGTGAGCAGAAATAACAGATGTGCGAGCTTGCGGAACTTGATACCTTGGAGATGGCCACCGAGGTCAAAAGTGTTGAACCGCACAGTACCGATGTCGAGTTCCTCAGAGGCTGTAACCAAGGTTTTAGCTCTCGCTGGTCAAGAATGTGATGTGGTGCCCCTACTTGGATGCAACGTCGGTGAAAGCATGGCTAATCTATTGTTTTTGAGCATATGAAGTAGTGTCTATGAAAAGAACACCATTAAACCTTTTCCTTCTGTCGCAATCGAGTACGCACCGTTTTCCCTGCATTATCCAGCCCAAGGAACAGAATCTTTGCATGCTTGTGTGATAGGCCTAGGCGAAATCAGGTCATTGAGCAATGCAGAATGATCCGTAACCCACATACCAAACTGCACAAGAACGTCCCAGAACCAATCGACAAACGAGTTAAACACATCCATGGCAGCAACTATTTGCTGTATAAGGAGTGGGCTCTAGGTTCCCTGATATATAGTCTGTGGGGGTGGTGGCTGTGGGCGGACTACGTGGTACCAACGCTAGGTAACGTGGAGGTGATGTCATTGCGTTAAACACAGCGGACGGGCTAGGACGGTCTCAGAACTCGATCCGCCCCACCCCGCACTATCACGTCGTGAAGCAGAAAACGGGAATCGCTGCTGACGCGTCAGACCCTGTGCAGTCCAAGGCAGTCACGCGCGAATGGAAATCAACTTTTGGGCGAGAAGAAACATCAATGAACAGTCACGCATTCATGTATCATAACTTGCAAAGACGGCCAAGGATCGCTCGCGAACAAATTCTAGGGATAAAAGATGCATGACATTAATGGGACAGCACACAAGTTGCACAGCAGAGAATTGCCATAGGTATGAATGGAGATGCAGGAAAGTGTACGTGAAGAATCACCAGCTCCTATAATGTATCCGCTGAGTGATAATATTTAAATCTATAGGGAGGGGGTTAGTTCGTTCCACACCAGGTCAACATGTGGAAACTTACGTATTGCGATACCCATCGGAAACCTGGAATTCATGTTAGCACATGGAGAGAGTGAATAAATGGTAGTAACTTACCCTCCCCGTACCCTTGCCTCTGCACAACCGAGCACATGAAGATTTCGATGGGACGGATATCGGTGAGAGCAACCTTGCCCTAAGAGATAAAGGGGCGTTTAGAGAATTGTTTGTAATGCATTATGAGAAAAAAGCCGACCTTGCCGGTAGTCTGGTAGAGGCCAAGATGATGCCTCAGTTCCTCTTCGCTAACGGCACCGGGAGCATCAATCTTGTTTCCAAGGATGAGGAAGGGAACTTTTGACAGTTGCTCAATGGAGAGAAGGGAGTCCAATTCCTTCTTGGATTCGGGGAAGCGCTCAAAGTCGGCGCTGTCGACGAGGAAAACGATGCCATCAACCTCGGGGAAGTAGTCGCGCCAGAGACGGCGAGCTGACATAAAATTAGCACGTAACCCTAGGAATATCAATGGTGTGTATACGCACCTTGAGCGTGACCACCAAGGTCATAAGTTGTGAACTTCACATTTCCGATAGCAAGTTCTTCGGATGCTAGAGTCGTCACTTGTTCAGTCTCGGGGTCCAAATCGGAGATATATGTCCCTCACTTGGGTGAAGAGTGGGCTGCAGAGTTGCAAGCCTGTCGTTCTTGAGCATGTGTAGTAGCGTCTGCCAGCTAATTTAGTCTTTGCTTCTCTCTGAGCATTTCTATGCTGCGCGCACCGTCTTCCCAGCATTGTCTAGACCAAGGAAGAGAATTTTCGCATTCTTGTGCATCAAACCTGCATTCCACGAATCCATGAGTTTCGCCCACCTTGGACAAGAGTGCAAAAAGGACATACCAAGTTGAGCAAGAACATCCCAGAACCAGTTGAGAATAAACATGATCACGCCTGGTGCTGATGAGGACCAAAGGATGAAAAGAAAGATTAAAAGGCAATGGGGAGCTTAAGAGAACTACAAACTACGTGGACGCAAAAGCAATAATGATGTGTGACTTTGTCGGGCGTGACATTCTGTGACCGTCGCGTTGAAGCTTTCAAGGCTGTTAACCACCAAATCTTTTTGCAACAGATCCACAATAAGTTACATTAAGCTAATTTATTTTAATTCCTCTTCCTTGCTAAAGGGTTTGGACAGTGTATATATCTGTAGTGCCCACAAGGAGTCGCCATAAACATTGTTCATTAAATTTGCGATTATGATCACATCACAATGGCAAGCATATGACCAACGCCGCAGAGTTTTACATAGAAAAAGAAAGAAGGAATAAAAAAAGAACCAGACACGACGCCAGCAGGATTTGAACCTGCGCCCTCAAAGAGGAACAGATATGTTGAAATAGGATTAATTCCCCGGTTCTAATCTGTCGCCGTAACCACTTGGCTATAGCGCCTGGAAATTTGTTGTACGATGGCAAATGACATTCGTCGCATACCTGCGCAATATTTCTTCACTATTGCCCATGTAGATATCGGCAAAAATTCCTCCTTGTTCAAGGTAGGTATGCCGATCGCGACTAAAGGACAGTAGTAAACTAGCATCAAGTCTGACAAACAGAGGGTCACCCGGTCAAGCAGAGAGTAAATATCCGAACAAAACTTCCCGTTGACTGTGCTGAGGCTACTATGGATGCAAACCCCTCGTCTGAGGTAGTTGAGAGGCAGTCTAAAGAATCTTACTAGTAATAGAATTTAGTGGGCACCTCGGGACGCCACATAATTGTTTACATCTGTTTACAACGAAGCCACATTTGCCAATGGCAACAGAAAGCTTTCGCCACCACCTCTAACCTGTCCCCTTTTCTTCCCATTCTTCTATAATATCTAGAGCTATAATATCACGTTTGCCATTCTGCTGATAAAGATAGAATGACTCCTATCGGGTCTCGGTGCATAGAAGAGACGTCCTTCACCTACCTGCTACTTCATTCCTGTCTTTTCACAACGATCACCATGGGCTTCAGTCTCTATATGTAATTTCTTGATGATCCTCTCACGCTTCTGCTCCCTCGACTTTGTCTCGGTTCGCTGCTCGTTATTTCTCGATTGTTTATCAGTAATGGCGGATTGCTTTGAATATATTAAAGGATTTAAGACAGTAACAAGGAAAGATTATCGTGGAAATTTTGGCTGATTGACTGCATCAAATGGGATACTCGAGAGTCACGTTCGTCAGGAATTCCATCGCAGCACTCCTGTAGTCATCCCTCGTTATAACCTCGCGATTGATGAGTCCATCCTGGAAGGTAAGAAGTTTGCGGGTGCTAGTGCTGTACTTCGGCCACTTGTTACTCGACGGAGGGTTAGGATTAAGGTCGACAGCGAATCGAATCAAATAGTCTGCCATTCCGCCCGTAGAAAGAGGTCCGAAGACGTTTATGAGGTCGGATGCATGCGCCTAAAAAACACAAATAAGCCATGAAGTCCTATATGATCGGAATACTGACCGATCCTATGAAAGGCGTGGCCTTCAAACGTTTGCTCACTAAAGCGTCACTTTTTAATTTGTTAAGCGCGCGAAAAAGGTGAGAATAACGCACAGAAAGCCCAGGAATTCTGTTTCTCCGACAGATGATCAAGGAGGAACCGACGGGGAGCTTGGAATAGAATAACGCACAGAAAGCCCAGGAATTCTGTTTCTCCGACAGATGATCAAGGAGGAACCGACGGGGAGCTTGGAATACACCGTCACCCATGAAAGCTGCGATACGTTTGTTTTGCCGAGTGATCATATTGAGATAGAGGGTGCCAAAGGGAGATCCTTGAGTGGGATCCTGAGGGTATTGACGAAGGATCCCATCAATGAGCTCATCTGGGACTCCAGGAGCGAGGAACACGTTCTTCAGATACGCCTTGAATTCTTCGTTCGTGCTAGGATGTTCAGTCAGACAACGGGAATTTATCACGATGCGAGCGTACGTGATGTTCAGGCTCGAAAGCGCAAAGATGGTTCCCTCGTCATCACAGTCACCTGCATGAGAAATCAACAAAGGTTGCAGTTATCAAGGAATTGTAGACATAAGTACCTGTGATGAAAGGGACGTTGGCAACTTTACCAGCTAAAACCAACTGCTGTGGATTATCAGTTAAAAAAACTCCATCCGGACGCGGCAGAAATGCAAGTTTCAAGGACTGGATGAGAATTTAATGAGAGTGTATGACTTAACGGGAATAAGCAACTATACCTGGTATGAAAAAAATCCTGGACTTGTATTGATAGCCTCCTTCAAAGTCGGGTAAGGTACCGTTCGAAGGCATTCAAGTGTATCCTCAGCTGCGGAACAGCCTGACCGCGCTACGATGTTTTCATAGTACACTTGTCCGTTCTCGATGTCGCCTACAGGGATAGGGGATCCGGACTGCATAAAGGCAGCACGGAACAAGCCCTCGTTGTCTCCATTATTCGCTACCATGTGGAGTCCCACTGAAATAGCGCCTGCGGACTCGCCCCAGCTGCAAGTAATAACGTAAGCTGTGAAATATGTTTGGAAGAGGGCGAAGTATTCACATTGTTACTTTTTTGGGGTCGCCTCCAAATGCGTGGATATATTTTTGAATCCATCGAAGTGCTTCGCGTTCTGAAGGCCCCAAATTTATTAGGACTCAGCTAGACAAACCAATTAGCACTTACGATCTTGAAGTCCCAGGTTACCGACACCAGCCTTCTTGACCTCTTTACCGCCCAGGAAACCGAAACCTACAAGGTCAACGAACGTGTTAAAACTGCCTGGCAGGGAAAGGACGAGGTACGTCGATGACAGCGATTACCTGACACTCTAGATGTCATGTAAGAATCAGTGTCTATTTACGAAGTTTTTTGGAATACTCTCTCACCTGTAATTCATGCTCACGAAGATCACTGGGGACCCCATGCTAATTGAACGACCCACAATGACCCCACCGTCATAGCTGTGAAAAAAATATTATCAGCCGTCGAGCAGACAAGCCTTTCCTGTCAACTCACATAGTGGTACCTCCAATTTCGAAACCGCCTAATGCAATCACAGTTAGAAAATGAGACACTAGATGAAAAGCAAAAGAAAAATACCTCCGAAAATCCACTCCATATGAACGAAGTAAGCATTCTTCTCACCAACAATGCGTAGAATTGTAACATACCACGACCACAGGATACCCAGAGCTTGGAGTTGCCGCCTTGGGTTTGACGACGTTGATCGTGAGGCCTATGATGAACGTCGTGTATCCTCGCAGACGGGAGAGCTGAGCAGTATACGTACAGTCCTCAGAATCTGGGAAGACAGCACCGAGAATCGTATTTTGAACTTGGTCTACCACAGCTTTTGGTATGTTGCTAGGAAAGTTGTCTTGTACAGATTGCTGAGGGCACGAGAGACTGAAATCTTTCGCAGAAAAGCTCCCTGGGTACTCGAGGATCGGTTGAGGAAGTCGGAATCGTAGGTCTCCCACTCTGTGATCAAGCTCAGCAAGCCATTCGTAAGTCTACTATTAAACTGGGGAACTCAACGGTGGTTTGGCGTACGGAATACCGAGGAATTTCGATACGTCCCCGGAATCTTTGCCAGTGATGGTGGCATTATTGAGTCGAACAGTAGGTCGTGGCATTAAGGGAGTAGCGAGAACACTGCTGGCCGCAATGGCCGCGAAGGATAAGGTGCGGAGTAACATTGCGGTAAAGACACGCCGACGAAATCCTTAGGCAGTTTACAATCTTTATACTGCCTTTTGAACAGTAAACATCGATCCCCAAAACCCGCGGGGTCGCACGCGAGAGACCCAAGAAAGACAGTGGCAATAATGTTCAAGGTGTACCCCAATCAGGCTAAGTTACAACTTCTGCAAAAATGCATGTCACCAAATTTCAAAGACGGGACGAATCCTTCGATGACGCTGGCATCGGGGAGGGAAATCAGAAAGGAGCGAAGCCACATAGCATCGAAGGCCTTTTACAGACAAGTTGTCAACGTTTTGCATCCGAGAAGGCCAAAAAAAAGTGTGCTATTCAACATGAGCGACTGATGGAAGATGACGGGCAGGCGAAAAGAGCGGAGAATCTTTGATTTGCGACTTGTTTCCTAGTGATGACTAGTGGCTACCTGAAGCCTCAATCGATGCACGAATGCAATCAGGGGACATCCATCGTCGGCTCAATTCCATCCTCGCTCGTTAATCTTTGGCCTTACTTGAATGTTCTCAAACTCTATGAACTGAAAAGATGTATTATTCTGTAGACAAAACGCGATACATAACTTGTAGGAGAGGTCTGACACCCATCAACCACTGTTCAAGTGAACGAGTTCTTAACCAAACCAGGCATTCCTCTGCGCTTCACCTGAATCACCGCATCCCGCGTGTAAAAATTGAGCATGGATGGGTACTGTCTAACAGGTTGCGACGAAGAAAGTCAACGTGGAAATTTTTCCTTTATGCAACTCAGATGTATTTGACCTTATTTGTTGAGTTTGATAAGATTATCTCATCTATCATCTTTATACGAGCCGCTGCAGCGCTGATCCACAAAACCCTTCCCGTACGAGATTTTTTGGTGGCCATTTGGAACCAGAGCTCGCAATGTCCTCCAGTCATATCATTCTACGCTTTTATTTTAAACGTTACGTAAATCTATCTCTTCAACCAATCTCTCTTCCTTGCAGTACCGAACATTGTCCTTGCTAGTAATCTCTACTTCTTGACATATCTTCTCTCCGTTCTTTGTCCTGACGCGACAAAAGACCATGATTCACACGATCTGTATTCTCGTGCCGATGATCATGGACATCAATTAGTACGTGTTCATATCCCGTTCGAAAGCTGTACCTCCGATGTATATCATTGATTCAGAAGCAGCTCTAGTCGAAGCATGGTATCTACTGCAAGAACAAGCTCGCAAGAAGCACACCAAAAGAGATTGCCAGGAGCACAGAGTGTGCCAGAATAGATTCGATTCTAATCTTCGCCACGATACGTAACGTGTTAAGAAGGTTGGTGATTTGGTGGTATATAACTGGTATCAATTCAACAGGCAAGTACGATTCCAATACCTCGTTGCGGTTATTCCGTCTCCGAGGATGACTTCGTGTCTGAGGGAGATTCATGCGATGGAGCTACATCAACATCGGAATACTCATCCCAACAAGAGCACTCGCAATCTACTATGCTCTTCGACGGGCGGTGGCTCATTTTGAAATCCGAGGATTTATAGGTCAAATGACCCTTATATCTTGCCTTCCATTCCTTAACATAGTTGTAATGAACGCGCACGTTCCTGCGATAGATTGTAACACGACTTGGGATGACTTGCTCATCGAGGTCTCTCTCCACGTCAAAATAAGTCCATAGACGTCCAGCCACAGCTCCTGCAGCTGTGGGGTAGTCCCCAGAACTTTTGTTGCGTCCTTTAGCCATAAATCGTTGG